CTGAGATAGCTGTAGCCATGAGTCCTTACAGAAAAGCAAGCATGCCAAGAGTTACGTTGTGCTCAGAGCTCTCTATCCATCAAACCTCCAGGTCAACTTCTAACCACCCAAATCTGACGTGACTATTCCTGGCAAAGGAACTGCCTGCTTTTTCCATGTAGAGGATTTATGGTGCCACGATAAGATATATATTCTCATTTTGCCTCTGCCATGTCAATGCTTAAACAGCCCCACGATTGTTCATGTTTTGTCAGTACTGTACTTCCTAAATGCTGCTTTCTGTCCTTTTCTACCCTGTCCTTTGCCTCCCTCTGGTAGACTGATGAAGAAGATGACACTGAGGTATGGTTCTGTGAAAAGAGCATGCCCTCTTCAGGCCCTCTGTGTGCTGTGAGATCTGCTAACAACAAAAACAGTCTTTCATTATCATGCATCAAATGTTCCATAACCCTCTAAATATCCGTACTATCTTTAACATGAGATATTTAGACCACAGTGTGTTTGGTTTATAGTCCACCATATGCAGTTTTTCATAATGGAATTGATAAAGAGCATGGCAGTGGTGCAGCTCAAAAGCCCTGCAAACATCCATCCAGATTGTGGCAGATGATGGGGACAGTGGCATGCCAAAGCCCAATGGGGCTTATTAATTCAGGATTCTAGTTGTGGCTAGTTCATACCTTTCTTTCATTCATTCTTTCTTTCTTTCTTACCTCCTTTTTCCCTGAGAAGGGATCCAATATGGCTTACAGATAAAATAAGAACAGCTAAAAACATTGGGGAGGGAAACAAAATTAAAAAGCCATTACACATTAAAACAATTAAAACTATATATCTCTGTGTGTAAAAGGTAAAGGTAAAGGACCCCTGGACGCTTAAGTCCAGTCAAAGGCGACTATGTGGTGCAGCGCTCATCTTGCTTTCAGGCCAAGGGAGCCGGCGTTTGTCCACAGACAGTTTTCCGGGTCATGTAGCCAACATGACTAAACTGCTTCTGGCGCAACGGGACACTGTGACGAGTGCCAGGGCACATGGAAACACCGTTTACCTTCCCGCCGGAGCGGTACCTATTCATCTACTTGCACTGGTGTGCTTTCGAACTGCTAGGTTAGCAGGAGCTGGGACTGAGCAGCGGGAGCTCACCCCATCGCGGGGATTCGAACCGCGACCTTCCTATCAGCAAGCCCAAGAGGCTCAGTGGTTTAGACCACAGTGCCACCCGCATCCCTCTGTATGATCTACTAAAAGCATACCATCACAACAAAAGCAGCACAACACCATCCCTTTCATTAAAAGCAGTCTGTCCCCCAAAGACTGTTGGGACAAGAAGGTCTTACTTAATCTGCTGGCGGAAAGACAACAAGGAAGGAGCTAGTCTAAGTCTGGGAGCAGCCACCGAGAAGGGCCAGGCAACTTCAGCAGAAGGGAGGGGTGCCTTTTTTACAGACTTGTCGAGAGCAGGGAAATCTTCAACTAAACATCCACAAGTAAACTCCCTCACACCTAGTTAGCCTATCAGAGCACATGTTGCCCTTGCAATGTTGCTGTGCAACACCTTCACCACCATCCTGCTTGGCTAACTGACTTCCTAGCAACAGTATTAACCCTTTATGTTACACACTGAATGAGTGCTGCTGCTACACTTCAAACCATAATTGCATTGACAAGAGCAATCAGAATAAGTAGCATTGTTATAATAATAATAATTTTTATTTATACCCCGCCCTCCCCAGCCAAGGCCGGGCTCAGAGGGGCTTACAAGCAATCATAAAAACAAGTTGAATGATTACAACTTAAAAACAAAATTAAAATACCGTATTTTTCGCACCATAGGGCGCACCGGACCATAGGGCGCACCCAGTTTTTAGGGGGGGGAATCAAGAAAAAAATCTTTTTCCCCCCCCAGCCCCAAAGAGCAGCGTACAGGGTGCGCACAACCTCTCCCTGCCGGAGGGGTTGCGCGCAGCTATGCAGCAAGCCAAGTTTTGGCTTCCCCTTTAGCCCCATGCAGCCTCTCCTTGCCGGGAGATGCTGCGCAGGGCTAAAGAAGCCATAGCCCCGTGCAGCCTCTCCTTGCGGGGGGTTGCGCGCAGCTATGGAAGAAGGCAAGGCAGCGAGCGGGATGGATCCCGCTCGCTGTTTTGCCTTCCTCTTTAGCCGCGTGCAGCGTCTCCTTGCGGAGGGGTTGCGCGCAGCTATGGAAGAAGGCAAGGCAGTGAGCGGGATGGATCCCGCTCGCTGTTTTGCCTTCCCCTTTAGCCGCGCGCAGCGTCTCCTTGCGGAGGGGTTGCGCGCAGCTATGGAAGAAGGCAAGGCAGCGAGCAGGATGGATCCCGCTCGCTGTTTTGCCTTCCCCTTTAGCCGCGTGCAGCGTCTCCTTGCGGAGGGGTTGCGCGCAGCTATGGAAGAAGGCAAGGCAGCGAGCGGGATGTATCCCGCTCGCTGTTTTGCCTTCCCCTTTAGCCGCGCGCAGTGTCTCCTTGCGGAGGGGTTGCGCACAGCTATGGAAGAAGGCAAGGCAGCGAGCGGGATGTATCCCGCTCGCTGTTTTGCCTTCCCCTTTAGCCGCGCGCAGCGTCTCCTTGCGGAGGGGTTGCGCGCAGCTATGGAAGAAGGCAAGGCAGCAAGCGGGATGTATCCTGCTCGCTGTTTTGCCTTCCCCTTTAGCCGCGCGCAGCGTCTCCTTGCGGAGGGGTTGCGCGCAGCTATGGAAGAAGGCAAGGCAGCGAGCGGGATGGATCCCACTCGCTGTTTTGCCTTCCCCTTTAGCCCCGCGCACCCTCTCCTTGCCGGGAGACGCTGCGCAGGGCTTTCCTGGCTTTTCTGGGAGGTGGGGGAATTCCCCCACCTCCCGCAAAACCGGCAGAAGCCGCGCGCACTTTAAAAGGGCTGCACGGCTTCTTCTGGCTTACCTGGGAGGTGGGGGGATTCCCTCACCTCTCGCAAAAGCCCGCAGAAGCCGTGAGCTCTTTAAAGGGGCTGCACGGCTTCTCCTGGCTTTCCTGGGAGGTGGGAGAAGGGACTGATGCGGCCAGTCAGACCCTTCTCCCTCCTGTGGAAAAGCCCGCAAGAGCGCACGGAGCTTGGGGGCTTTTCCCGCCTGCCTCCCCCCCTGCATTCGCTCCATAGGACGCACACACATTTTCCCTTGCTTTTTAGGAGGGAAAAAGTGCGTCCTATGGTGCGAAAAATACGGTACATTAAAATAATGAAATATTAAAATGTAGCCTCATCGCAGGAGGAGAAGGAAAAGAAAAAAAGAAAGAGAGGGAGAGAATCAAATTGGCTCCAAGCCAAAGGCCAGGCGGAACAACTCTGTCTTACAGACCCTGCAGAAAGAAATCAGATCCTGCAGGGCCCTGGTCTCATGAGACAGAGCGTTCCACCAGGCCGGGGCCAGTGGTGAAAAGGCCCTGGCTCTGGTTGAGGCCAATCTAACTTCCTTAGGGCCTGGGACCACTAGGGTGTTGTTATTTATGGACCTTGAGGCTCTCCGTGGGGCATACCAGGAGAGGCGGTCCCGTAGGTACGAGGGTCCTAGGCCATGAAGGGCTTTAAAGGTCAAAAGCAGCACCTTAAATCTGACCCTGTACTCCACCGGGAGCCAGTGCAGCTTGAAAAGCACTGGGTGAATATGCTCCCATGGCAGAGACCCCGTGAGGAGCCTCGCTGCATCATTCTGCACCCGCTGGAGTTTCTGGGACAGCTTCAAGGGCAACCTTGTAGAGCGAATTACAGTAGTCAAGCCTGGAGGTGACCGTCACATGGATCACTGTGGCCAGGTTGGGGCAGGAAAGATAAGGGACCAATTTAAAAGAGTTAAAAAGAGTCTCCTTCTAATTTCCTCCAGTTCATCTAATTGATTTTTTTATTTTTTATTTTTTATTTTTTGTAACCTAAGATGCTAGGGAACTTGGGAGCCAAAAACCACCCAAGTTGCCTAGCATCTTGGGTTAGAATAAAATGCATTGTTGCCAGTCCAGGGCACTGTGGCCTCCAGATGGGTGAAAGCACACAAAGCAGGGCAAGTAGAAGCCAGCAGAAAGAAGAAAAAGCAACTCCACCCACCATCAGACTCCAAAAGAATTTTTAAAAAATTGATACAGAGCTGTGACAGGAAGAAAGAGAGAAAGCACCATTCACTTGAGTTTCTGCTCTTTATTAGCAGATGTAATATGATTATTGGGACCAAGAGAAGAGAAATGAATGAATTAATTAGTATGGACTATTACCTTTTTACCTTTGAATCCATACCAGAGATACTCCAAAAAGGAGAGGGAGTGAGAGAAACTGGATTGAGGGAAAGTGTGGAAATTCCACGATTTGTACTTCATAAAGACAATAGAGAATTAATGGAGGCACTGGAAGCTTACTTACCACAGTAAACATCTGTAGGGTTGAGCCTGCAGAAGCAGCCTAAACCATTCACAAAAGCCTTCTGAAAAGGCTAAGTCTTCCTTGAGATTTCAGAGCAAACACCCAGTGCCAGGTGGGCCTCCATAAAGTTGGCTCAACCGCTGTCAAAAGAGACTCCCATCAAACTTCAGTTGGTAAAGGCACTTAGAGCAGAAACTCAGGTGTTGAACAAAACTCACACAGGGGAAGATGGCATGGGTGTCTGCAGAAATTTTTCAGGGTAGGGTGAGGAATGTAGACACAGTACTCCAAATTAACAAACACAGCTCACATCAGGATGAGAGGTCTGCCATTTCGGGTACATCGCATGACTTAACTAATTGGTGTTGATATAATAATAATAATAATAATAATAATAATAATAATAATAATAATAATAATAATAATTGCTAAACTCTGCATTTTGCTGCCTGCAAAATAAGAGTATGAATTATGCACTCCCCGTGGTGGAAACGGAAGGATTATTGTCCATTTGCTAGAACTGCAGCCTGAGTAAGAGAACGTCTTTGAAGTACTGATTTCTTATATTTGCTAATGTTGTGTGATTTTATAAATTAAAACTGGTGGGGAAATTCTTTCCACAGACTGGGAAATTCTGTAGCAGCAGCAGCTCTCCTCCACCTCAGAACCAACCGCAGGGGCTACAATATGCGGAAGATGCAGTGGAACATGAGAATATGAAGGCCGTCTTGAAGACTTCCTCGCCAAGTGGGGAGAACACCACCGTGCTAGGAGTGCGCACCCGAAGTCGGGCAAGTCGAGGTGAATTCTTCGGTTTTGTTTGGGATACTGGGGCCATATGTTACTGTTTCCTACTATTATTCCTGCTGAAGGCTCATATTTGAGATACAGAAGATATGCTGTGTACAGTTTATTGAGAAAATCTATAGAAAGCTATTGCTGTCGCCCTTTGAGGAAAGTAGATATGAGTCAATGGAGCTTCAAGGCTAGAAGATCCATTGTCAGATTTCCTGCAGTTTCTTTAAAAAAACAAAAACCTCGAATAACAGCTTTCTTGGGCAAGTACTATCACACAGACACAAACACACACACACCATATCATTCCTGGGTGAAGACTCCCTTCCCTGCTACAAATAAAATATACCTTGCTATTTGACTTGTGTTGTGCAAAACATAGTATGTGTCACTCAATGAGGCTGCTTGGAGGAAGTTAGTCCATGGGATTTTCCAGTCCATGGGATTTATAGGAAGAGGGCAGGGCCAGCCCATCCATGAGGCAGGCTGAGGCAGCTGCCTCAGATGGTGGAATTCAAGGGGTGGGGCCCCTGCAGGCACCCTGCCCGCCCACTGGAGAAGTGAGGAGAAGCAGCAGTGGCTTCCTGGTTCTGGCAAGATCTCACAGGGCTCCCACGAGATATTGCTTGAAGTCGTCCCAGCCGCCAACACCACTTTCTCCCATGAGGAGAAGCAAAACGGGATGAGACACCCCTGGAAAAGCAAGTGTGCACATCCAGTCAAAGGTCTTTGTGGGAGGTCCCCATTGTGGAGATTGTCATTTCTTCAGAGGGTGCTGTCTTGAGGACTTCTCGGTTTGGGGGCTCCATATTGGGGTCCAAGGTCTAACCGCTCTGAAGCTTGAGTCACTGGCTCTCTCAATCCAGTTGTCTCTTCCCGCTCTTTGTCATGGTCCTGTCCTCTGTTCAAAGTTGGGTTCATGACCCAAGAATTTATATTGTGTGGCTGCCCTGGGATCTGTTGGAATGAAGGCTGGGATATTAAGTAGCCTGCCATAAATAAACCATCTGCTTTCAACTTCAAGGAGTAATTTCCATTGAGGAAGGATTAACTCCCCACCCCCAGTGAGCTGCAATCCTGATTAACATCTCCTCCTCTGGCTGCTATTAAACATTTGAAAAGCAGTGGTAGATCCAATCAAGAAACTTGTCTCATTAGGTTTAGCTCCGTTACGCCCGAGATCCCAAACCAGACCTAGGAAAAGAAGCCACAAATCTCCATTCAGCTGCACATGTATATGGACTCACTTTCCAATTTGGTTTGGTGTGCCATGACTAAATCCACTCAAGAATGATTTGTGATATTCATACAAAAATGAAAAGATCTCCCAAATAGTTATTTTAATTATAACCAAATATCCACATGAGTTTCCACTAAAGCGTTTCAACGTATTGGGTAGCTGCTTCAAGCATTCTAGGCCTTTTATACTGAAGTGGGGATGCCAACCAACAAAGATGAGATCATGATCCTGCTTGTAATTTGAGTGAAGTATTACAGGAATCTTGAAGCCATGAGGAAATTCTTAACATCAGATGCTATTTTCAAAACCCGAAGCCAATTTAGAAGAGGACTGTCAACAGTCTTTGTTGCTGATACATCCATCCATTTCTGTTTCACATTTTCACTGCCAAATAATGGTTTTGAAATTCAAATGAGGGAGCACATCACACTAAGCCAAACCATGTCTCGACACACACCCACTTGCTCTCGAGGAGACCAAGATTTGGATTAGCGTATGAGCTGAACCTGAGATTTTGGTTGAAGTCTGTTTTCCTTAACTAAGATCTATATAACCTTTGCATCATTGTTAAAGGTCATGGTTAAACAGGAGAGAACATAATCTTGGTCCCAGATTTGGGCGACACATTCAGGCAAGCCTTGCCTAGGAGCTGTCCTGTTCTGACCTGAGAAGTGGGCCTGAGCTCCTTGCTAGGAGCTGGTACCTTCATGCAGCCATTCTGAGCCAAAGTATGGCTTGTGTGATGTGCGAACCACACTCTTGCTGTGTGGTGCAGACTATCCACAGAAATAATTGTGGGGAAAGTTGCCGCTTTGTGTGACCATTGCTTGTTACCAAACAATCCCAGAAATTCAGTGGCTCGTGCTCAGTGGGCTCTGTCTTTCTGAAAGCTCACCATTACATTCCTGCTTAAATCTTTATCCAGGTGTATCCTATTCAATTGTAGCAGGATTAATGGAGAACACAAATATTGTGTTCATAATACATGCATGGGTATGCCTGAAAAAACCATACCTGTGGTTTGTGAGTTCACATTTGTACTCCCATCATCTCCCACCTATTGTTCCCTCTTCAGCTTCTAATACTGTACACACTGGTTTAATTACATAAATTACAATTTTAAAATCTTTTGGGTGATGGTGCTCCTGGGTAAGCCCTGAACCAAATTATTATGCGGCATATAACCAACCTGATGAACTATTACTCTCATTTGACCTAGTTCTAGGCAGTTTTCTGGTGCTCTGCAAAGTTTGACAAGGCATTTCACAGACCAGAGGTTAGTGAAACAGAACCTGAATCTTGGTGGCCGATATTATAAAATATTAGGACATGCTCTTACTTGTCGAAACCATCAGAACAACGTGGAATAGAAAATCATGGCGTGTTGCCGATTCCATTTTCCAGGTCGCGTTGGCTCGTGGAACGCTGGCAATGATGATTCACCTAACGCTACAGATGATGCAGCAGACGAGATCATGGATCGCATTGTCAAGTCTGCCACACAAGTGCCAAGTCAGCGAGCAGTGCCTAGGGAAAGGAAGCGGTCAAGAGCAAACAGGAAGTCATGTAAGTACACCTGATGAACCAGTAAGGAGAATTGATTGTCCTTTTTGTTTTGTTTATGGACGTGTACACAGGTGCGTTGCATATGCTGTAGAAAAGATTTCTGGGAAGCCATGAATGCAGTCCTCAAAAGTACAGGAGGACAGAAGTTGCGTGCTCCCTTGAGCTGCTGGTTTTTGAAGGCTGCTGGGGTGGAAGGATTGGCTAAAATTGCAAAGAGTCAAGGAGTGAGACATGTGGATTTCATTAAGGGTCCTCCAACTTTGTCGCCCATGGTTTGACTACTGCATTTCTTTGATAGTTGAATGAATGTTGCTTTTTAAACTGTCATAGGTATGTCTGTATGCAAGGTCAAGACCTTTATTCAGACAGAACTCTGTTTTTTTTAAAAGATATTTATTGAAATTTCCAAAAAAGTTATATAAAATAAAAAAGCACAAAAATACAAACACAGACAACAACAAGTATAATTTCAATCCCTTATTTTCTTAATTCCTTACTTTCCCGACCTCCTCATACCTCCCCTTTCTGTATTCCAATTTCTAATTATTTGATTCAGCAAATCCCCCCCATAATTTCTATTGATTTTCAACATTTCCTTTCTTAATTACATAATCATTACAGCTAGAAACCACCTAATTTCTAAACCAACATCGTTCTAACATTCAATAATTTTACAATGTTTCTTAAGATAGTCCTTAAATTTCTTCCAATCTTCCTCCGCCGTCTCTCTTCCCTGGTCTCGGATTCTGCCAGTCATTTCTGCCAGTCCCATGTAGTCTATCACCTTCATCTGCCATTCTTCCACGGTGGGTAGATCTTCTGTCTTCCAATACTTTGCAATGAGTATTCTTGCTGCTGTTGTAGCATACATAAAAAAAGTTCTATCCTTCTTTAACACCAATTGGCCGACCATGCCCAGGAGAATTCAGACAGAACTCTATGACAACTGAATAAGTCTTCATTAGCATTCGGACTAAGAATAAAAAAATTCATTGCCCAGACCCTGCAAAGTTCCATGCATACAGTAGACAAACCCTGAGACTGGCAGCTCCACAGAACAGAATTCTTATTTTTGATCCAGGGTTAAGTAGCATAAGACAGTTGTGTGTCCCCATACTGCAGTGTCCTCACAAGTCAATAGGGCATCTGCTCAGAAGCACACTCAAATTTGCACCAGCTTAGGCTCCGCGTTAGAAGAAAGGTGGAAATATAACCGTAAGAAAATAAAAATAAAATAAAAAACACATGTGAAGTGTTTATCGTCCTGTATTGTTTGGCCCTCGGTGAAGTTTCAGACATTACTGAAAAAGTGCTGCCTGCCAAAGATGCAGTCATTCCTGATTTTGGCGGCACTTCAGAAGTTCAAATGGGAACTTGCTGTGGCTATATTTGTGCCCACAGCCTCCACATTTTCATTGCCTAGTTCTTCTTTGGGAGTTCTCGAGAAGCACCACCAGCTGAATGCAGAAGCCAGTGGACCATTTGGCCAGCACCTCTTAAAATCCAGGGCCACTCTGTAAAACTGTGTGCACATTTAATTGCTGTATAAATGAGTAAGAGGCATGCAGTTAGTCCTTCAGCTTTTTGATTTGATGTATGTAAAGACACATTTTTAGAGGGTTTCTAAGGCATTGTATTGGGATGCGGGTGGCGCTGTGGGTAAAGGCCTCAGCACCTAGGGCTTGCCGATCGAAAGGTTGGCGGTTCGAATCCCCGCGGCGTGGTGCACTCCCGTTGTTCGGTCCCAGCGCCTGCCAACCTAGCAGTTCGAAAGCACCCCCGGGTGCAAGTAGATAAATAGGGACCACTTACTGGCGGGAAGGTAAACGGCGTTTCCGTGTGCGGCTCTGGCTCGCCAGAGCAGCGATGTCACGCTGGCCTCGTGACCCGGAAGTGTCTCCGGACAGCGCTGGCCCCCGGCCTCTTGAGTGAGATGGGCGCACAACCCTAGAGTCTGTCAAGACTGGCCCGTACGGGCAGGGGTACCTTTACCTTTTAAGGCATTGTAGCCTTCCCTGAGCCACTGAGATAGGGTGGGATAGAACTCCAATCAATAAAAACCAGCTTTCTAATGCCCTCTTCATTCTTTTAGCATTTTTGTGACGTTAGACCAAAGGAGAGAGAGCAACAAAGAGTGAACAAAGTGCAATGAATTGGCAGTCAAGCTGGTTAATGCTGTTGCAGATTAAGAGTGTTTTGCACCAAGCTGCCCTTGGTTCTCATTAGCTGGCATGTGCTTAAGAGCACATTCACTTTCCCCAAAGTGCTAAAGGAGGAGATTCTGCATGTGGCCATTTCCTTGGAAAGGTAACGCAGACATTTGTATAGAGCGGGCAAACATGCCAGCAATGCAAATGAGCTGACAGTGGCTTTCCTTTCTTTTCCACTGCAATTCTCAGCAGCCCTTCGCCCATCCACGTGGACTTGAGGTTCTCCATACGTTGGCATCACTCACTTATAATTTGCCCATGTGCTTATTCCGTGCAGCTTCCTTGCATTGGACATTTCTTCTGTAGCTGCTGTCCATTCTTATCCCCTCCTCTATATCAAGGCCCCATGTGTTTCTGATCTTTGCCAGGCCTCCTTTGCTCCTGGGGAGCAAGAAAATGATGGTAATGAATATGCTATATATATTATTACATGGTGCTGGTTCTCATTTGTGTTCAGTGGAAAACATCAACAGGGAATAAAGACTCTGTTGATGTTTAGGCAGAAGCCCCTTTCCACTAACCTAATAAATCCCAGCCTGATGTTCAAAATCTCAACATGACATCAAATTGAACCAAAGTCAGCTTCAAAATGGATCCATTCCTCAAGTATTTTAGAATAGCTGCTCCGGAATGAAAGTTTTATGCAACTGAACCACATATACCTGAAACGCTAGGTTAGCGTCAACTAAGCCTACAGCTCTTAGGCTTTTTGCAAGAGCACTATTCACAAAGCCTACATTCTTATCCATCTCACAGTCCTAGCAAATAGAGATATGTTACACTCATCAACCAATCTTGATAGTGTACTCTTAATGCTGGTGCAAACCTGCCTTAAGAAATCCAAATTTATCCCATCCATTTGAAACCGTGGAATGACTTCTCTCTTGAATATTTAAGCTCACATGAGAACTTGGCCGATTCGTTATTCCATGGGCACATTTTGTGGTGCATGTGTATTTCTTTTTTTATATATAATTTTTATTTGTTTTTTTTTACATACCATTTTCAACAATAATTAAACATACTTTTACATCTTATTCAATTTTTTTGAATTCCATCAGTCCTGTCTGCAATTTTTCAATCTAATATCTTAGTATGCATTTCTTATTTTCCCTGTTACATTTCAAACTCATAACCAATATCTCTATCTTTTTCTACTTTGTAACACTTCGTATATTTCTCCTTACAAAACTTCTTGTAGTCCTACTAGCGTAATTTGTTGATTACAGTTGCTCTTCAAATAATTCATATACTTCTTCTGATCTTCTGTAAATCTCTGGTCCCGCAGGTTTCGAATCCTTCCTGTCATTTTGTCCAATTCTGCATAGTTCATTAATTTTGTCTGCCATTCTTCTTTCATTGGAATTTCTTCTTGCTTCCGTTTCTGGGCTAACAATTCTCTTGCCGCTGTTGTTGCATATAAGAACAATTTAACATCTTGCCTATTAATGTTTTGGCCTATAATACCAAGTAAAAATGCTTCTGGTTTTTTTAGGAATGTATATTTCAACATCTTTTTCATCTCATTATATATCATTTCCCTGAAGTTCTTTACTTTCTTACATTCTTACCACATATAATAAAGTAGTGCATGTGTATTTCATTTGTAAATATCTTTCATGAATTCCCACATTCTTAAACACACGAAGCAGTCTGAGATTGAAGTACTTAAGAATGTGGAAACAGAATCATAGAATCTTTGAGTTGGAAGGGATCTTGAGGGTCATTTAGTCCAACCCCCTGCAATGCAGGAATCTTAGCTAAAGCATCCATTTAATAGTTATGCTTGAAAAATTGCATTGCGTGATGGGATTTTTTTTTATAGCATTCACAACATATATAAAAAATCTATGATTTGGTATGACAAAATTAAAATGTCTCCAGAATACATTTAAAATACCAAATATTGATGTAAAGCACAATAATAATTAGTAGTCCTGCCTAGATAGACACATGCTGGATTGCTGAAAGCAGTCTGGATGATGACCAGCTTCACTGAATTTTGAGGACAATAGTCAGAGGGTGTTTTTAACCACAGTGTTAGACCTGAATTCTACTTTAGTCAGATGTTGGTTCTGTCAGCTTCATTTTGTCCTTGTTCCTTCATCCCTAAATTGCTTGATAGAAGTATTGTGCTACTTTGGTAGTATTAAAAATATTTTCAGTAGCTTACAGCGGCTGCCAGAATATTGGAAGAGTAGGGAGATTCCCTCAGTGTTAGAGTGGCAAACTAAATTTTGCCAATATATTGAACTAGCCAAAATGACAGCGTCAATCAGAATGCAATCAAAACAAAAATTAAGGAATGGAAATGCGTTGAAGAATATATTGTACAAAATCATTCTATTAGAAATCTCTGGATGCAGTAAGCATAGATTGAACCCATTAAGTTAAGAAGCTATGTTTTTAATAGATGATCATTCTAATGAACAAAAATGAAGACAATATTAGAGTTGGGTTTTTTAAGTAACAAGTTGGATATCACGCATGTGGGTGAAGTCACATGGGTATTTGGGTAAAAGGGGAGGTGGTTATAGGGTTAGGTGTGGGGAATTTGTGGAAATAATATATGTTATGTACAATGTTGAACGTGTATGACAATTAACATGTAACGTAAATTAAAATGAATAAATAAATAAATAAATAAATTTTCAGTAGCTTATCTGCAACTGACATCCACAGGGTAGGATATCACTCTGGGCTATATTGATATTGCCTAAATGTGTCTGTTAAAAGCAATCATTTCCCAGCATTTGGAAGCTTGAGTGAACACCTGTTAAATGGAAAGGCTTTTCATTAATTGAATTTGATTAAGTTTTGAGAAGGCTGCGCTTGCAACTTTCTCATCCGTTTGGGCTGCCAACTTTTGCTAGTCCATTACCAGGCCCAGGCACCAGCTCAGCACATCTCTTGCCTACATCTGCCTTCAATGTAAAGGAAAAGTCAGGTGCGTGTCACCAGCATACTGATGACAACACACTCCAAAGCTATGGCTGACCCCACCCAGAGGTTTCATGTCGATCAGGCATAGGCAAACTCAGCCCTCCAGATGTTTTTGGGACTACAATTCCCATCATCTCTGACCACTGGTCCTGTTAGCTAGGAATCATGGGAGTTGTAGTCCCAAAACAGCTGGAGGGCCGAGTTTCCCTATGCCTGATGTAGATGTTACCGTACCGGTGTGATACCAAACCCTGAAGAACCTCGCACCGGAGGCTCCATGGGGTCAAACAATACCTTCATTTTTTGGAACCGGCCACCCAAATAGGAACACAAACCCTTCAAAGCAGTGCCTGCTGCTCCAAACTCCGACAGTAACTCCCAAAGAATACCATGCTGAATAGTACTGGAAGCTGCAGAGGTCGAGGTGTATCAACAGGGACGTATTTTCCTCCCTCTGTCCCAACGCAGTCTTCATACAGGGTGACCAAGGTGGTCTCAGCACCAAAGGCAGGATGCATTCCAGACTGAAAAGAAACAAGGAAGGCAGGGTCATCCAAGAGAACATGGCAATAGATGGTAACGACCCACTGAAGAATCTTGCCAGTGAAAGGGATGTTAGTGACCAGATCTTCCAGGTCCAGGGAGACCTTCCTAGTCTAGTCTCCTTGCCATCTTTTTCAGGCAATCTGGGACAAAGCTGTCTTGCAATGAGGCCATCACTTCCCAGGCCACCTGCTCTCTGCCAGATTTTACAATAAATAATAATAATAATAATAATAATAATAATAATAATAATAATAATTTATTTATTTATACCCTGCCCTTCCTGGTTTAAAAATCGGGCTCAGGGCAGCTAACAGCAAATATAAAACATTGATTAAAATGTGACTTAAAAACAGCATAAAACAGCATAGTAAAGGTAAAGGTACCCCTGCCCGTACGGGCCAGTCTTGACAGACTCTGGGGTTGTGCGCCCATCTCACTTAAGAGGCCGGGGGCCAGCGCTGTCCGGAGACACTTCCGGGTCACGTGGCCAGCGTGACAAAGCTGCATCTGGCGAGCCAGCGCAGCACACGGAAACGCCGTTTACCTTCCTGCCAGTAAGCGGTCCCTATTTATCTACTTGCACCCGGGGGTGCTTTCGAACTGCTAGGCTGGCAGGCGCTGGGACCGAGCAACGGGAGCGCACCCCGCCGCGGGGATTCAAACCGCTGACCTTTTGATCGGCAAACCCTAGGCGCTGAGGCTTTTACCCACAGCGCCACCCGCGTCCCTCCCAAAACAGCATAGAATACAACATAAAATGCAGCATCAATATCAATAAAATTCAAAATTTCAGGGGTCATTTGAGGGGGAGGAAACCCCAGTCATTAGATCTCGAATGATCACCAGGGCTAACTGGCCAAGTTGGTCCTACTAGGGCCAGCAAGGAGACCAGGGAAGAATTTAAATGTGGGGTCCCAGAAAGGGTTTCTTCATAGAAGAGGAAAGGAAAAAGGGAATAGAGGATCAGGCTAATTCAAATTGAAGGCCAGGTGGAATAGCTCTGTCTTACAGGCCCTGCGGAAGGAGATCAAGTCCTGCAGGGCCCTAGTCTTGTGGGACAGAGCATTCCACCAGGTCGGAGCCATCACTGAAAAAGCCCTGGCACTGGTGGAGGATAGCCTGGCTTCCTTAGGGCCTGGGACCTTTAAGCTACTATTATTCATGGACCTTAGGTTCCTCCTTGGGGCAGAACAGGAGAGGTGTCCCGTACAAGCTACCTTGGGCAAGGGACAAGATCACAGGTGGTCACCCTCACCTATCCATATGGCCTTGTCCATACCCTTGAGCTGTGCTAATTGAAACCAGTCCAGACAGCGGATCAGAACTGGAGCAGACAGTGTTGTGGGCAGGTCTTGGTCTTGATTTTGTACATTGAGATATTTCTCTGTTAGAATGCACAAATCACTCTTCAGGGAGGGAAAGCTTTGGTTCTGTACTTGTAGCTGCTTGTTTGGCTGGTTATATTTTTGCGTTTAGTCTAGTAGCACCTTCATCCTTTCTTTCTCTCTCTCTGTTTTGTGACTGCTCAGTAAGGAGGACACTTAAGAGCGGACTGACACCAGAAGAAGCCAAAGCACTGGGTCTGATGGGCACTTCAGAGATGCAGGTGTGATAACAGCATCCGTGTCAACTCCAAGAAGAGTCGTTGTCATATGCAGGCACAGGCACACAGGCTGCCAACAGTCTTTCAGTTTAGCATTCTCCAGTCGGTTCCATTTGCTGCTTTCCCCATCATCTTTTAGATTCATTTTCATAATATTGAAGGAGGTTTTTAAAAAAGGCAACACAAAGGGCTATAATAAAAAGAAGTGTGTAACAGACCAGTAAAATTAAGTCAGGGCTGTGGGGGAAGAGGTGATGTGGAAATTGCCTAATGCTGTTCTGTCTTGTTCATGCTGCATTGATGTGGTCTCTAAGAAGGTTTTCCGTATTTTGTATTTTGTGAAAGGTGTTTATGTTCATTTTCCTCGTGACCTTTTGTAATAATTGTAAAGTACTATATTTTGTCAGTTCGAGGGCAGTTCTTTAAATAGGCAAACAAACTTCTGTCACAGTTGCGATGACCTCTCTGAAGACAATGTTGTGAAATAGAAGCATGCCATGGATTTTTATCTCTCCACCAAAGAATGTAAAAATGTATGTCTACTTGTGTATATACCGAGTATGTGTGTGCATGTGTGCGTGCACACACAACGTGCACATGCACGCGCGCACACACACGCCTACCGAGTCCAGGTGCCTTCAACTTTCAAGCATTTTGTCCTGCATGAAGGGAAATCCTTTTTACAGGAACTCATTCCACTAGGACATTTTTATACCAGGACCTCTCACAAACATGTACATGCACATTCAACATAATAGCACAGGTGCACAGGGATAGCACAGAGTACCTCTTGTCACTCAGCTGTAGAGATGTATATATAAATTATAGCAGTATGCCAGCAACTAGCCGGAGACAAAAGAGGGTTTGCTGTCAAGGTCAAGTAGGAGTTTTGTGCACATGCATGGGCTGATGAGGCTATTTTCTTAATCTGATGTAGTAAAGCATAACTCTGTCAAGCTCACTGGATGAATTATACAAAGGTCCTGCTACACTCCTTTCCGGTTACATTTTCAACACCACCACAAACCATGTAAACAACAACGGAGAACGCAAGACAACAGGGAATAGAGACAGTTTCTGGCCTTGCACATGGAAACTGACCCCCATCCCCCAAAATGATGGGGATATTTGAACATCCAGAGACTTCCTTTCCGAAGTGTACAGAATGTAGTTTAAAGAATGTACTTGAGAGAGGTTTCTTCTGCTGATTTCCATGGCTTTCATGGAGCAGCTCTTTAGAAACACCCTATCGTGGAAGTATTCAAGAATCAAACACATTCAGTGTTTCCCCTGTTCTTGAAGACTGGTATAAAAGGGAACTTTTTACACTTAAACATACCTCCAAGCTAGTGGTACTAAAGAAGGCATAATGATTGCATCACTGTTACCATGCCAGCCAATGGCTCAACACTTGAAAAACAAACTTGAGAGAAGGTTGTACATCATTCTGGCGGATTCCAGTCACAGCCTTTACGCAGAAAGCCAAATATACTGGCCATACAACTATAAGAAAAGAGTGTGAGAAATTGCATCTGTACGTTACTTCTCTCACTCAACTGCTGGATTTCGTCCCATGAGTTACTGTTGCTATTAACTTTGACCTTGCCCCTCTAAGGGGATGTTTGTCTCTTGTAACAGCTACCGTAGGGCTCCTGGATAATGTGTACTCCCTCAATTTTGACATACTGTTTATTTAGCGATTCTGCAATGATGTGGAAGGGTTGTTTTGTTTTTAATAAACCCAGTCAGTGTGCATTTTTTACTAAAGAGGGAAAGGCATTGGCCAGTAAACTGAAGGAAATTGAATGTATTTCATCAATATTTCATTTATTTCAGGAGAATGAGGTTAGTCTCTGGCAGAGGAGTTCCTAAATCCTTGCTGTCAAAAGCATACCCCCCACCACCTATATCAAAGGATCTTCTTCCATAATAAAGTAGTAAGTTATTGCAGATTTCCAAAATGGTTTGAGAAATGACCTGAAACACAGCTGGTAAACTGGTTGAAATGCTCAGGCACAAAAACAATAATTATGTTTCCAATTGCTACAGATCTTATGCTCTAGAAGAGCACACACAGTCATTTTACATTAACCAGGATTTTTTTTTGGGGGGGGACCATCCTAAATGGTTGCATTTACCTGTCTGCATAACAACATCCATTTGGCCATTTTTATGATTACTGAGATTTATACCTACTTTTCAGTCAAATTCCCAGTGTAGCTTATGAAATTTCATTTCTTAAGAGGCACTCTTGTCATAAGCACTTCTGGTACTTATTGAGCCAGAACATATTAGGATTATACAAAGATACATATATATATATTTTCTAGAGAGCAGGGGTGAGAGGTCCTGCTTCCCTGTTCCTGTAAAATATGGTGTCCTTAACTGCCTACTAGTTAGATAGTAGCCCAGTACTCCAAAAAAGCACATTTTATACATGACAGCAAACAAATGTACAACTGGTCCTTCAAGGATTGCCATGTTGCTCTTTTTATTTACCATTGGCAAATAAAACCCTCTCAGATATTTCGCCAGAATAGTTTTATAATGCCAGTGGAGTTGTCCCACAGGAAATGTTTTCTAGGTTGCTGGTATGAGTTGGGATCCAAACGGCCACTTGAGCTCACGCACAAGGATTTCACTGGCCCAACCAGAGTCGTGTCATTCTCTTTGAAAATCCAGTATCTATCCCAAACAACCATCTGTTTTGAAACTACTGTTTCCAAAACAGTTTGCAATGCAAAATAGTGGTGGGCCGGCCTTCTTTTTGTATGGAAACACTAACATATACCAATCCAGGAGCTCGTGAAACGAGTTTCATTGAATCCTCACTACGATCACCCATTTATTAAAAGTTTGGCCATAGGTACTCATCTGGGATTGACAGATCTCCTCCTGTGTTCCGAATGAAATGTGCTCATGATTCTAGTTTGCATGCAAGAAAGAGACACCACCAAGGGAACCTATACCTTCGTTTTGTTTGCCTTGAAGGTTTTCAGTAATGTACTCCAGTTCTCTCTTGCTGCCAAGGGACTGTTCACACATCTGCATGATGTTATGCTGTTCCTTTGATAAGGACATAGACAGATACTAGCATTTATCAGGTGCTGCCAAAAAATCTAGTTGTTTCAAGGCTTTGAAAGTGAACAATATCCAAGTCAATCCTATCTTCAAACTGAAGGATAATCGTCAGTGGCAACAGTACATTTCAAGCGCAGTAGCTTCTGAGACATGCAGCAGAAACGCCCAAAGGAATTCCATGCAACATGCTTCAAAACGTAATATCACAGCAGAACCTACATTTTTCACTCACCGCTGCTTTGTTGGTTCAAACATCTACATAACAGATTTCAGATGTTATGTAACAAGGGAATATACTTGTCCGCTGAGCCCTACCTGTCATTTTCCCACAAGCCTTAATAATTGTTTTCTTGAGTTCAAAAAGAGCTCTCAGCTAAAAATGGCAATGCAAAGAATTCCTCAGCATGAATAGTGTAACATTCGAAAAAATGCACCAAAAGTAACCATGCAGTTTTCTTTAGAAGCAATGTCTATTTTGAAGTCACATGGTTCAGTCTCCCCTCCTATTCTGAATGTTGGTTGTAGTTGGTGAAAAGCAAAAATGTTGAGGGTGTGGCATGTGGGATGCTTCAGGTCACAGTGCAAAGCCTGGCAACATGATCAAGGCTATCCACTGCCTTTAACTCATACAGCATTCTGCAGAGTTCATTCTTCAAAAACCTTGCTAGCTCTTACTAACTTCAGCTGAACTTACTAACTTCTGACCCCCATTTATTAAAAAATGTTTTCAGTCGATGGCCTTGAAAGGAATTGCTTTAGGTTGAATATTTGCAGCTCTCCCCATCCCCATGTGCACTTTTCATTCGTCCATCAACTCAAAGGTTTTCTAGAAAGCCCTACTCAGGCAATTATTTTCCAGGAATGCAAATACCATTTTAGATTTGTAAACTGATGCAGTCCTGTTGCCGGACGCAAGAACATGGCAAGTAACATGCACAGTGCAAGCCTATATATGTCTTCTCAGATGTAAGCCCCTTTGAATTCAATGGACTTACTCCCCGGTAAGTGTGTTTAGGCTGGCAGCCTAGGTGGGTCAGGTTTCTTAGTTTTCTATATATATTGTTGCTAGTAATATTCAGGGAAAGTCATGTAACGTTAATGAGACTTGGATTTTGGACACGATCCACTAGGAAGTTCTCCTGTGCAAGTTCCATTTGAGTGCTCTTTCCCAGGCATTTCAGGAGCACATTCATTTGTGCAGGAGAGTCTTGCGGTGAATTCCCTATCCAGTCTTCTACACCTTTCAAATAGTTTTGGATTCCTCCATCCAGAGTGTAAAGCAAAAGATTGCACTTTCACAAATAGCCTCCTTATTCTGTAAAGCACAGAGAGCTTTGTGTTTTCCTGGTCAAAATGAAGCATTTCTTTATTAGACGTTGTAGTAAAAATAATTTCCACATTCATCAATTAATGTGAAGTGGGGGTGGGGTTCACATGTAGTTACTTAACAATTCACTTAGATACATGACTAATTCAAAGGAGCATTCTAAAGACTATAATTTACACACATGCAAGGGGAGAAATCCTTTAATTTTGAAATACTTTACTTTGCTACCTAAAGCATAGGTATGGATGGCTTACAACTATCCATCACTAAGTTTTAACAGCTGTGAAATACAAGATTTTTTTGTGAATGAAGAAGCCCATTTGTGATGTTGGGTTACATTTCCCTTTTCAAAGGACTGTCTTTGGACTTCTTGTGTCTTTTCTGTGAACTGGGAATTTAAAAAAGATATAGTTCTAAAGTAGAAAAGGACACGTTTCTAGACAAAGAATTATTGTAAAAATGTGTAAATGTGACTAGACTTTGTTTTGTGTGTAGCATAGTGTAAAATAAGCTTTTTTCCCAGCAGTGTTATTCTATGAATTGTAATTTAAGAACAAGCCATGCATGGTCAAATATATATCCTGCAGGGAACACACACGCACACCATTGTTCATTTTGTTGTTTTCCTGGCTGTAGGCAAAGACCTGTAAAATGTTGAATTTAATATTGCATCCTCACAGTTTTACTTAATGAAGAACTTGAATTAACTCCCTCCCCCCCCCCAAAAAAAAATTCCTGGATCCCAGCACACTGATAATTTGTCGCAATCTTCATCCAGTTTTGGCACTACATTGAGTATAACAAGAGTTTCCTTTTAAAAATACTCAACACCTTTCTCTGCTCCCAAATTACTCTTCTGTTTTAGATTTAAAAAGTTTGTGCCATGCAGGCTTAGAATATTGACCATTGACCTGTGCCCAGAAATCTCTGATATAATTTTAAAGTTCACTTCTACCGCATTATGTAAACACATCATGCAATAAAGCTTTCTAATGCACTGCTTTTTCTTTTTGTGGGAAAGGGGGGGGGATTTGTATTAATTTTAGTTTTCATCCAGACCATCACTGAACAGGCATGGTTTCACTTTTCCGCTCCCCTTTTCATGACGCAAAATGTTAAAAAGGAACTCTTGGTCCCCTGGTAAGAAGGAGGTCATCACAGAACGGTCACATAAAGGTTGGGAAACATCTAACATATTTTGACTACAGAAAAGGGAATGGAATGGAAGAAGCTGCTGCTGGCATGAAGAAGATGGAGACATTGCGCTTGATGTAAACAGACCACTGAAAAGAAAGGAAGGCTCACAGGTAGTGATGGAGAAGAAATTTATCAGTGGGATGAGGTGAGCAAAATATGTCCTAGCCACGTTTTGCTTCCTCCTAAATAAGTGGCTGCCATAATTGCTTTGCCCTAGTATGCATGGAATAACATGAATCCTGTCATCTCAACTAGGGTACAGTTTTCCCTTTCCGCTACTACGTTTTGTTCACGTGTAAATGACATGGTTGATTGGTGCTTAATACCCTCTTCCTTTAAATGTGCTTCCACTTCCTTTCCTGTGCATTCGCTACCCCAGTTTTCTGTGCAGAATATTGACAACTTCCATTGGAACTAGTTGCTGGTCTCTGCCATAAACTCTAGTTCTTCTTCTGCTTCTTGATATATGTAACAGTGTACCTGGAATAGTAGTTGTCCCTGCCTCCATCTAATGTATTGCCCTGAGGGGCTTTGAAGCAACCATCCCATACTTCATTTGCAAACTCACCTGTTGCAACTTTGACTTGTTATTTTTGTGTGTCTGTTCTCTGTTTCTGCTTTCCAGATTTCCAAATCAAACTTTTTTTTTAAATTCCGGGTTCTTACTTTCTTTTAGCAGAAACACACACACACACGGTTTCTTTTGTTTTATCCCCTTTTTGAACGTGAGAATCACCTCTGATTTTTTCCATTGTCTTTACCCCCTTAAATTTATTTTCTATAATTGCATTCATCCATTGGCTTGCCTTTAATGTATTCCAGCATTAGATCTAAGGGGTTTAATTAATCTCAATGGCTTTAATTAATCTACGAAGCTGGGAAACAGCACGGTAAATCATGCCACTGTACTTTTGTCCTTCATTTTCCCCCAATGCCTCACAACTGTTTCACTATCTCTAACATGACATTTAAAAGTTTGTGCATCCCCTGTCTTCTGCTGAGACTCACCTTGTACAATGTATGTAACAGGAATCATTTAGGGTTTTGCTCTGAGTACTCCTGTGATTTCTGGAGTGCAATCTACATACCTTTTGTCATGTCTTCCTTTCCTTCATGGATGAGATGATCATCTTCCAGCAGCGGGTTTTTGGCTACTCCAGAACAATGTTTATTCAAGAATTTTGTGTCTCAGTTAGTACCTTGTTCTGTTAGAGAGATATTTTGAGGAGGGGGGACAGAGTTCAAACCAGGCACCCAATACTATTTCCCAAACTAGACTGGTGGCAAATACGATAACCACAACCACCACTCCCTTCATACCCCATTGCTTCTGGGTTACCAACTGAGTGGTTAGGCTACCAGATTTAGCCCAGGGATCTAATGTGTTATCACTGTGTTTGATATGATAATAAAATACACAATATGTTGGCAGATGATTTGTTCCCCCCCCACACACACAAAAAAACCACACACAGTAGCTTGCTATTTAAATACTCCTTTGTGGGTGGGAGTGGGAAATTTGCATTCCAGTAGGCCTCAAGGCATATGCACTGAGCCCCTATCTGACTGTTTTAGCATTCCAATTTTACTGGTGCAAAGTTAAGAGAGCAAAGGGCTGTCTGCCAGCAATGTAGTAATGCTTTTTAACATATGAGTTGGTTGGCTAGACACTTCTCCCTTCTCTTCTTTCACAGCAGATCCATTAGCAGTTCTAAATTCCAGATGTGCACTGACAACACATACATAGATTTTACTAACTCGAAAAACCCAGTCAGAGCTCATTTTTTGGTCTTGGGGAAGCCTGTGGACTCCAGCCAGAGAATAACTATGTCTGCAGATTAATGCATTAAACAGCTGTGCACTAGAGCGGTGGCCGCCTCCTCTGGTAACTACGTATCTTGCAAAAGCAGTTGAAATCACAGTTTCTCTTTCCCATTTTAGCATTTCCCCTAATGCACTTTAACTTTTGAAATTCACTGTCCTTCTGAAGGAAGGATTATTACGGCCTAGTGATGGATCTACACCTAAAATGGGGGTGGGGAACCTCTGGCCTTCCAGGTAGCGTTGCCCCAGCTAGCATGACCAATGGCGAGGGATGATGGGAGTTGTAGTCCAACAGCATCTGAAAGGCCAAAGTTTTCCCATGCCTGCTGTAAGGGAAAACCATTTTGGGGTGTTTTGTTGTTGTTTATTAAATCACAGATCACACGGTGGTGTTATGTGATCTTCTCTTACGGAATTTAGGCAAGAACAGAAACCAAGAGTCTCTTAACACAACTCACCTCATCAACAACATTTGCTCATGATGCTCACCTCCACGTTCCCAAACTGATCCCTTTGCCTCTCAGAATCTTCTTTCACCCTTGGCAAGAGCGCTTTGATTTCTTTCCGAATCCCCTTCGCAATTCTCCATGTCCTCGCAGAACCAGTATAACAGACTGAAACATGTCCCTTCCAAACCTAAGCCATAGACAAATGTTAACAGTAGTAGTGGGAGATTACATTAACAGACCCTTTTCACTTAGTCATGCGTACCGCTTGGTTGCTTTCATGTGTAAATGAGCAACCAGGGGTCACATACACAAGGTGGAATTTTTGTAATTCCCCAGATTATTTCAAGCAATACTTTCAATACTGTCAGTTCACACAATTCAGCTTCAGATTTTCTGCGCTACAAGAAACCTGCCCCAAGGAACATACGCTCTAAATTTAGATGGGGAAGACAACAGAGGGAGATGTTAAATAGGGAATTAACGGAAGCACATACACTCAGACTTTGCTTTTGTTGAAGACTTGGGTGTTGAGTCACAGAGAAAGCTGGCACTTATGTGTTCAGAAGAGCAGTTCCAGGCATAAGGGGTGGCAAGTGAAAGGGAGCAGAGCAGGAGACCCTCAGATGCCTTAGGATGCTACAGTTGGAGGTCACAGGCAGTGAGAGACTGGGTTTTGAAAGATAAAAGTGGAAAGTGAGTCTATGCAGAACCTTAAATATAACAAGGAGAGAAGTTTATGCTGTCATTTCAGAGCTCACTTCTAAAGTCCAGACTCCATCAAATGCTAGGCTAGGATAACTGTGCCTCTATCCAACATTGCTTTCACTACATTTATTTTATTTCTTGCCAAGACTTTGCAAACTGCTCACAGGTTTGGAATGCTGGAACTTGCTGTAGCAGAGATAGGGATGAAAGCAGGTGATCACAAGGCAAAAGACAGACATGAAGTCAATGCCGTGTCCCTTTTGGTCCCACACAAGAAGACGACATTCCAATAATGCTACGAAGTCTCCTCCAATCTTAAACTGGCCACCTTAAAATGAAGCAATGCTTTGATAACTTAATAAGCTACATACGCATAGCACTCAAAAGGTACCGCAGTGAAAACACTGAAGTTGAACAAAATTATGAACATTAACTTTTAGAGAACTCAGAGACTCCCTTGTGACCCTTTAAGGTGTGTTGCTCCTGCCTTCATATGTGCAAAGAGGGAGTTCTGTAATCTTGGCAATGGGGTAGCAAAAGAAAATGATTGTTAGAAAGAGACCCTGTATATCTTTTCAGTGACTGATTTCCCCCCACATAAAATTGCGGAAAATTACTGACCTCATGGAGAAAGTTGTTTTTTGCAAGACAGCTGTACTGTGATCTCTAGGTAATATGTCTGTCTTCATCTAAAATATAAATTTCATGTGTCTAGAACAATTCAGGAGAAACAATTTGCCCACATCTGAAACCAGTGATTAACCATTGTTATTTATTTATATAAAACATTCATTGTGTCAATGGCGATTCCGCTGAGGGTAGAATGGAAGATCCCTTAACCCAAAATATATGCTTTCAAAAACAAACTGATCTGTGTGTTTAGTATGGAAGATACTGAGAAACTCTTGGGTGATTTAGCTCAAGGGTATTTTGGAGCTCTAGGAAAATACCCAACCATGTAGTCAGTTCACTTTTACTTGCAGCATTGCAAAATAATATTTCATGCTTAGCAGGCTATGTTTTATGCAGAGAAACTTAAAACAAATATTATAGCATTACCTAACATTTTATAGCATTACCTGACATTTTCAGAAGGTAACATTAAAATTCTTTGGCTTTCCGAGAGCAGTTTACATGCTTTTTAATTGAGCATAGATTTGCCCTTCTAAATGTTGTCCAATCACAAAAATAATAGATTTGAATTCCTCACACCCAAAAACATATTTTTAAGACCCCTTGCTGAAGCAATTTGCAAACATTAAGTTTTACCCCCATAAAATGACACATCCTATTACAGTAAGTCACAGCAACCCATTAAGAGATCTGTGGTGGGCAGATAGAATTGTGGCAAGGCAACATTCCTGCGGTACACCCATGATTCTAGGCTCAAGATCTTAGGAAGCACGCATACACTGAAGATGCATGAAGATGCATATGTTAGCCCAGTTCGGAAGCCAATAGAGCTCCTGGAGCAGGAACAAATCATGCTATCCCTACACTGGCTTGTTTATTCAACTTTCAGGTGGGAAGGACCAGGCTGACCCATCCCTTATCTCTTGGGAGGGTGGAGGGAGGGAGGAAGCTGAGGCAAAATCCCTCCTTCTCATAAATCTGAAATGGTTCTGGAACAAGCAGATGGAGACAGCACCAGCCCACTCTTGCCTCTGCCTCTCCTTCAAAATAGAAAAATAGAATGCTGTGTTTGTGTGCAAAAGGTGTGTGTGAGCCCAGTGGGGAAAAACAGGCGGGAGAGAGGGGCAGAGGGGGAGCTGGAGATGGACGTGGAGGAACCTGCAGGGAAAAGTTCGATCTAAACATGAGTTTGTGTGGTGTCATTTTCTTTCTGCTTTCAGTAGCTGTGTTGAATAAGGTCTTGATTTCTTTCCAGGAATGAGATAGCCAATACAAAATAGCTGGCTAGTTCACTGTTGGCTGATAAATAACAGGAAAACCCCATAAATGGATACCCTTTCCCCTGACATCACATGTATAAGGGTGGCCAATCACTGAAATCCACGTGGTTACATGCTCTTGCCCAAATCCACTCCGATTCCGAAATCAATGCAAAACAAGGATAACCCAAAGTTCTTCCCCTTATTTAATCCTGATTCCCTCTCCTTTTCTCCCCTTCCAGTCTTTCCTTACCTCTGCTTTTTGGCAGATGGTAACAAATGTGTTTACTTTTAGCTGGACAAGAAATGGCTGCTTCATCCAACAGTGATGTCAGAACAACAGGTGGTCCTATTTGGAGAAGGAAATAATTGATCCAAGCTTCTGTCTCTGCAATGATATTTTGTCTTTGCTTGTCTGTCTTTTCAAAATTGATATTCCATTCTGTAATTGGAGAAATCAAGAGTGATTGCATTCCTCACCTCCATATTAGTGTTTCCCACTCTTTTCATGCCTGGGATATAGTATTGGTATTGATAAGCACTGGATGCAGACATATTACACTCTTTTTTTCCCACTCAGTCAAAAAACTTTCATGATCAAATTCCAGAACAAAGCAGGCACCATCCTCACAATTTTGGGGCAGCACCACAGTGTCCTTCACTTCCCTTTGACTACTCCTAGGTTGGGAAATGTATGACCTGCAGACTGGGTGGAATCTGCTACTTCCATTCATCCAATTGCAGCAGGCTGGAGTCTGTGGCAATATTTGGGAGAATCCATTTACAGCTGTTCTCTTGTGCTGACAGTAGGGTGGAGGAGCGAGACCCTGGGGTCACAGTAGATAACTCAAGAAAGGCATCGACCCAGTGAGTGATGGCCATGAAAAAGGCAAATTCCATGCTAGGGATAGTTAGGAAAGGAATTGAAAATAAAACTGCCAGTATCATAATCCCATTATACAAATCTATGGTGTGACCACTTTGGAGGGATGTGTACAAATCTGGCTGCCACACCTCAAAAAGGCTATTGTCGAGTTGGAAAAGGTTCAGAAAAGGGCCACCAAAATAATCAAGGAGCTGGAAGGATTCCCCTATGAAGAAGCAGCAGTGTTTGGGATGTCTTGATGCAGAGAAAAGGTGAGGAAGAGGCACTATGACAGAAGTTTATAGAATTATGCATGGCATGTAGAAAGTTAATAGAAAAAGGGTTTTCTCCCTCTTTCATAACACTAAAACTGATGGATATCCTATGAAGCTGAACACTGGAACAGACAGAAGAAAGTGTGCCAGTCCCATGGGTTACCCGAGAGGTGAGGTCCAAGTCCGGTCCGTGGTCAAAGGTGCAATGTGGAGGCAGTTGGTAGTAGCTGAAGCTGGGTGCAGGGCAGGGAGTCAGGTGAAGTCAGGAAAAGGCTTGCAAACAGGGAGCCAGGTCGGGTCAGGAGCTCAGGCAGGAAAGCAGGGCAGGGTTCAGGCAGGAACTAGCAACCAACAATATTGCTCCCGCAACTTGGGACTGGGGCTGGCCGGCTTTTATCTGCCCCGAGGCATAGGGTGGCCCCGATCCTCTGGTGACTCACCTCTCCTGGCCTGGAAGCGAGCACTCCTCCTGCGGGAACTTAGTTCCCTCCGCCTCTCTGCCCTGAACCTCTGCAGCTCAGGAGAGGCTGGAGGGTTACCGGACCCAGAGGCAACCTCAGCTTCCTCTGACGGGGCTGGGGGTGGAGCACCTACAGGCAATGGGTCCTCCATCACCTCAGGAGTCAGAGCAGACTCAGCTGATGCCTGCACCTGAGGATCCAGCACAGGTGAGGACCCTTCAGGCTGATGCCCCAGCTCCAGCTCAGCTGGTTCTGGAGGCGGGGAATCCTGTGCAGGCTGGGATCCCTCAGGTTCACCATCCGAGTCCGAATCCCAGGCCATCACAGAAAGTTTGGACTAAACACCAGGAAGAACTTTTTGACAGTAAGAGCTGTTCAACAGTGGTTGGGATTCTCACGAGAGGTTGTGAACTTTCTTTCCTTGGAGGTTTTTAAGCAGAGGTTGGATGGCCATCTGTCTTGTATGATTTAGCTGAGACTCCTGCATCGCAGGGGATTGGACTAGATGACCCTTGGCGTCCCTTCCTGTTGGGATTTCATTCTCTCCACTGCTGGTGTGTGATTGTTTTCATCACATGTCTGTGTTGACATTCCATACTATCAGAGTCATGAGAATGGAATTTCAGTTACGCTGTTCAGTCTTTGTTGTACTTTTGCTTTTTCTGTTCTCTCTCAGAGAAGAAGGAGAGAGGAGACATGTTTCCTTTCATAGAATCATAGAATCATAGAGTTGGAAGAGACCACAAGGGCCATCGAGTCCAACCCCGTGCCAAGCAGGAAACACCATCAGAGCACTCCTGACATATGGTTGTCAAGCCTCTGCTTAAAGACCTCCAAAGAAGGAGACTCCACCACACTCCTTGGCAGCAAATTCCACTGTCGAACAGCTCTTACTGTCAGGAAGTTCTTCCTAATGTTTAGGTGGAATCTTCTTTCTTGTAGTTTGGATCCATTGCTCCGTGTCCGCTTCTCTGGAGCAGCAGAAAACAACCTTTCTCCCTCCTCTATATGACACCCTTTTATATATTTGAACATGGCTATCATATCACCCCTTAACCTCCTCTTCTCCAGGCTAAACATGCCCAGCTCCCTTAGCCGTTCCTCATAAGGCATCGTTTCCAGGCCTTTGACCATTTTGGTTGCCCTCCTCTGGACACGTTCCAGTTTGTCAGTGTCCTTCTTGAACTGTGGTGCCCAGAACTGGACACAGTACTCCAGGTGAGGTCTGACCAGAGCAGAATACAGTGGCACTCTTACTTCCCTTGATCTAGATGAAGATTTAGCTGAGATTCCTGCATCGCAGGGGGTTGGACTAGATGACGCTTGGCGTCCCTTCCTGTTGGGATTCTGTAACACTTGATCCTGAGTGCCACCAACACTTCAACCCTACAGTTATAAGATTCTGCGATACTTCTTCAAGCAACACAGTCAAACTATGGTACTTGTTGCCCCAGGAGGTAGTGATGGCCACGAACTTGGAAAGCTTTAAAAATTGGACAAATTACTGGAGGACAGAGCTAGTGAAGGCTACTAGCCATGATAGCTATGTTCTACCTCTACAGGTGGAGGCAGAAATGCTTTCAGATACTCACTGCTGAGAACCACAGGAAGGGAGAGGGTTCTTGTGTTATGTTAAACCCCTTCACGGCCTAGGACCCTCATACCTATGGGACCGCCTCCCCGGTATGCCCTGCGGAGGACCTTAAGGTCCATAAATAGCAACAACCTAGAGGTCCCGGGCCCTAAGGAAGTCAGATTGGCTTCAACCAGAGCCAGGGCCTTCTCAACACTGGCTCCGGCCTGGTGGAACGCTCTGCCTCATGAGACCAGGGCCCTGCAGGATCTGATTTCTTTCCGCAGGACCTGTAAGACAGAGTTGTTCTGCCTGGCTTTTGGCTTGGAATCAACTTGATCCCCTCCCCCTCTTTCCTTTCTCCTTCTGTGATGGAACTCCTATTTGGGGATCTCACTGGCTTTTTTTCTGGCCCACGTAGGACCAGTCTGGATAGTTGGCCTTGGTGAAGATTTGACGTTTTCATCCCCAAAAAGTTTTTTATTTGAGTTTCTACTGAAATGAGGCTGCATTTTAATGTTGTACTTAATCTTGTTTTTAAGTTGTATTTTAATCATTGTTTTGGTGTCAGCCACCCTGAGCCCGGTCTTGGGTGGGAAGGGCAGGGTATAAATAAAATTTATTATTATTATTTATTATTATTATGTTCTGATCTCTAGTTTCCCACAGGCATCTGGCTGGCCGCTGTGAGAACAGGATGCAGGACTAGATGGCCCAATGGCCTGATCCAGCAGGCTCTTATGTTCTCATGGTCAGAGCATCCTAGTTTGGTCACACCAATGTGTGTTTCACCACCCTTGGAAGGTGTGAGGAGGGGGAAACCAAACACCAGCACCGGCCAGCATCTGTGCCTAGGGAGGAGAGGCAGTTTGCAGTACCAGCCTGCTGCTGGTGCAGCAATCCATTTCCAATGGGGCTTAATGCATAGCCGTCAACCGTCCCTTATTTGGCGGGAAAGTCCCTTATCCCAGCGCCGTGTCCCGCTGCTGTCCCTTATTGATGATGTCCCTTCAATTTCCCGGGTTTCAAAGAAAGCAGCTCCTCTCCCTCCCTCCCTCCCTGCTGGTCAGGGAGGAGGGAGGCTCCAACTGTGTTGCTTGGCTGTGTTGCTCACCCAATAAGAAGTCTAAGAACGACTGGGGGGGTGGAGCTTGCATGCCTTGTGCCGATCAAATCGGCCACATTGCCTGGGGACTCGCCTTTGCTCAGCGCTTCCCAGCAGAGAGGTGACGGTGGTTTTCCTTGCTGCATCCCTTTTGCCAGGTTGCTGCGCTGTGGGAACCACCGCTTGAGGCTTCGTTTGGCTGCTGGCTGGGCTTTCTGCCTTTGGCTCGGAGGGGCTCAGAAGTTGAACATACCTGTGCTCACAAAATCCCTTATTTTGGCTGCTGATCCCTTATTTTCAAGGCTGCTGGTCCCTTATTTTCAAATCTGTAAGTTGACAGCTATGGCTTAATGCCATCACCTGAAAGTCATGGGGCAAGCTCCAGTGGATCTTGGACAGTCAAATTCTGGAAGAGAGAGGATGCCTGATTGGCAGTGAGCAGAGAGGAAGAGAAGGGGTAGGAGACGAAGATTTGAAAAAGTCATTCAGCCACCACCTCTAAATGATCTTCATCCTTTGCTCTCAGGGCTTCTACCTCCTTCCAACCTTGCGCTGCCAAACTGCTTGGATAGCATTCCCTCTTGCTTCACTTTGTTTAGCTATTTCTGCTTGTTAACTATGCTGAGTCACTCTTTCCCCTTGGAGTGGCGCTGATGCGGAGATCTGTTTCCATGCTTCAGGAATGATTCCTCCCATAGGGGGCAAAAGGTATCTGGTCTGTTTTCTAAAGGTGGGCTATGAGCTAGTCTGCCTTGAGTTGTCACATTTCATTGCCTCGTGATAGAAGGTCTGGATTCCTTTCCCCCACCTCTCCTTCATTTGTAAAGTACCAGCATCCTCAAGGAATTTGCTGCAGGAGGTTTTAGTACCGATCCCAGCTTGGGACAGGAAAAGCCATAAGGCATTTTTGTAAACCATGTGATGATTCAGTTATCCATTGCCCTGATCAGTGTCAGCACTGAAGTAAACAGGCTGTCTTGTTCTGCTCTTGGAACATACAGGCTATAGGTAGAGGTAAAGGGACCCCTGACCATTAGGTCCAGTCGTGACCGACTCTGGGGTTGCAGCACTCATCTCGCTTTATTGGCCGAGGGAGCCAGCATACAGCTTCCGGGTCATATGGCCAGCATGACTAAGCTGCTTCTGGCGAACCAGAGCAGCGCACGGAAACGGCGTTTACCTTCCCACCAGAGTGGTGCCTATTTATCTACCTGCACTTTGACATGCTTTCGAACTGCTAGGTTGGCAGGAGCAGGGACTGAGCAACGGTAGCTCACCCCATCGCGGGGATTTGAACCGCTGACCTTCTGATTGGCAAGTCCTACAGCGCCACCTGTGTCCCGTATACAGGCTAAATTTATACAGGCTAAATTTAGCACTAGATTTAGGGTGGTGTGAATGGTTCACCCACACAGGGTACTGAGCTGGGGGGGGGGCACAAAATAATGCATTTGAGAGCATGCACAGAATGGAAAGCAAGACTTTGCTTGAACTCTGTTCCAAAAGGAATTATTGTGAAAATAAGGAAGATTTGGGGGTCACCAAGTTTTGTCCTCACTCAGGATGCCAAAGGCCACCCCTGCTATAAGCCATAGCAAACTGAATGCCAATTGGCCCACATTTGGCTCTGTTCTGCACTCGGCATGCCCTGTGGGCCAACAGCTCTTCGCAGTGGAAAGGTCTTCTGCCCCTGGACCAGTAGGTCAATACTCTAAAGTAGGACTATGGTCTCTGGGCAACGGTGATGATTCTGGGGTGCCCCACCATGCCTTTCAGCCGTGTTCCTTAGCTTCCTCTCTTGAGATGATTTCACTGCTCATCTGCTGGCTCTGCAACAAGGAGGGGGTCGATCCTGCACTGGGCCACCCTGATCCAGTGGCATGGAATAGTTGCCTCCACCACGGCGCCTTAATTTTTAAATGCACTCTAATTGTATACGTGTTGAGGACCACTGGCCAAGGCCAACAGAACAGCTTGCTCTAATGTTTACTCAGAATAAAGTCCCATTGCTTTCAGCAGATCTTCCTCCAACGGAAATGTACTTAGGACTGCAGCCTTCATTGATCACTGGCTGCAGAATGGGTATTCCAGCAAAGGGACCGCAGCTGCTGTCCCCTGAGCTGGCTCCAAAGTACTGAGAAGCATGGAGTGGGATGGAGTGGGAAGGTGAAAAGGAGGGGAAATCTGTGGTTTTTTTCCCCTGTGGATCCACACATAAAAGCTGAAAGCTGTGCTTAAAATCAAAC